GGTGGGAGGAAACATGTGCAAGAGTACATGAAATAGTGCTTAATCATTTTCCCTGAAGATGCTGGAGAAGATCAGACAGGTTGGTCAGAGACAGCTGGGAAATATAGAACAGTACATTGGCAGCCCTGTAGTGAGGAAAAAAGTCTTTCAGGAAATGGTGAATAACCTCTAAGTATAATGATGTAACTGGGAAAGGGAAAGAATGGCTGACAGAACAAGCTGAAAACAATAGAAATTGTTGGTGCCAAGGCTGGGGTTTCCTGCATCTTTGAGGATTTTCTTTAGACTCATGTTTTTGGACTGCTTGAGATACCTGCACTGAACTTTGAAGCGAACAGCTAAGAAATACTGCTCTGTGCCTGGCTGGGAGTTGTGTCTCAGTGGCATGCTGTGTAGCTCCAGTGGGGTGTGCAGAGATGGGGAGGGACCCTCAGTGAATGCCCTCTTCCATCTTTCAAGCAGGTATTATTTCCCAGCAGCTACTAAAGGGTACCATCCTAAAGACTGAGTGAAGCTGACTATTTTTTGAAATAGAGAGGTCTATTAATATCAGATAGGTATTTGCAACACTGATGGGCAGTTTTTAAAGTCAACTAAAGATGTTTAAGCCAGGTCACTTCCCTCTCACTATCCTTGATCAAAATAGCAAACTACCAGTCCAGTTTGAATCTGTTTGTTCTAATATTGTTAACATGCTTCTGTAAGTCTAGGTCACAGGGGTCTGGTAGTAGCCTGAGGTTCACAACATGTTTAATGTTGTTAAAAGCTTATGGCAAAGAAATTCCATTTCCTGTTCCCTGCATATATTTGTAATTCAAGATCAGGCATTCTCTATCACAGTTCCAAAGCACGTACATCTACTATTAAATGTATATGTATATGCCATTAATATTATGTTAGTTTTTGTATCCTTTTTAACAAGTGAAAATATATACCTTCAAAATATTTTCATTCTGTACACTGGTTTATCAAACTGACACATTTAAAAGCCCCTTTTTAGACTAACAATAGGATTTAATATCGTGATTAATTCATTCCAACCTCATTCTCTCTGCAAACAATGCCAAGTAATGTGAATACAGTCTACTGTCTTATATGTAAAGATGAGTTTAATTTTAAACAGTCAGTTCAGAAAAACAGAGAGCTCTGAATCATTTCAAGTTGTTTCTAGCTTGATTTCATTTATGCTTGATGTAAGTGATTCTGCTGTGTAAGTTTCCTCACTGGACTTGGTTAGTAGTATTGTTGTTTTGTAATCTGCATTAATTATCTATTAATTAGTGAAAAACTGCTCCAAAGCATGACCGTAAGTAGCTAATTAACCTTTTCAGATTTTTTTTTTTTTTTAAATAGAATTTTATCTACTGGTAGACTATGTGGAAGTAGATAATTTATCTTTAAGGCAGAAGGGGTTTATAGGACTAGAATGTTTAGGCTCCGAAATATAACCCAACTAGATCTGTTTGTCATTAAGCTGTGTTTCAAAGCTTGCCTCTGCTAGTGAGCCATCAAAAAAAGGAGTGGTTCTTGTTTGCTATCTGAGATGAAGCACTCATTGTTATGGAAGTGGAAGTGTGATTAACTCAGTTTTCAAAAATGTACCAAAGGAAATAAGAAACAAAACAAACGAACCAAAAAAGACTTTTTAAATTTGGGACACCTGTTTTGCTTTGTTAAGTTGTAATCTAACCTGCAAAGTCAAAGAAAAGGTAATTTAGTCAGATAAAACGCTTTAGAAGTAAAACTTGATTGCACTGTTTTGCCCCATTCTAAGCTTTGAAAGGATGTAATAAACGAGATTTAAAATTACTGGTTTTTTTATTATTCTTGATGTTCTTGTGGGCTTTAATAATGCTTATTAGACAGTTAAAAAATAAAAATGTTGCTTAGCTTTTTCCTTATTGAAGCTGACAAAATATTTATTTTTAAGTTTTCTTGAAATAAGTATGGGGAAAAAAAGATCTACAGCATGTGAAAAAAGTATGATTCAGTGTTTATCAAGTAGTTTTATTAATAGCAACAATGCTGTAAACAGATGCTTTAGTCATTACTTAAAATGAAACAAAATAGTCCTTGTATGGAGTAGGGGAAAAAGGATTTAAGGTCACAATTACTGCAACTGAGCTTTTTTTTTTTTTTTTTTTAAGTTAAATTAAGTGTGCCTGCAGCACAAATCCCTGTAGTTGGATATGCATGTGCTGCTTGCTTTCTGGAGGCATTAAACTCTGCTAAAACTCATCTCCCAATACTGCTTTTTTTTATCCTCTGGTGCCTGTACTGAAAAGTACAGTAATGTTAGTTATCATTTTGAGTACCACCCAAGTTTTGCAAGCCTCATATTAACTTTAACTTCCCTGTCATTCATTAGGAATATGAGAAAAACAGTGGCCATATTTCCTGTAAAAAGAAGCTGCCATATTTGATTGCCAGGCCATAGATTTCCTGAGCTCAAGTGCAGCATTGGGGTGGGCATTTGCGTTCAGTAGACCACGTAGGAGATCATCACAGAGCTGGGGGTTTCTTTCATGAGTTAAGAAAGTCTCTGAAGGTAAGAGAGGCTATAAATATGAGTTGTGCAAGTGTCCTAAGATTATTTTTTTTTTTCTAATGTGTTTTTGGTAACCTGCCTGTCATCTGGAAGACAAAGATCTGTAAGAAGGTACAAGTAGAACTTTTGGTTAACAACATTTTCTAGACTATCATACTGCTTCTTGGGTTTTCTTCTGTTCTACTAAGAAAACATGGATTATAAAGTTGTGCCTCTGCACAGGTCTGTCATAATTTCCGTTTTCCTCCCTCTTTACTAGTTTTTAGTTTTTAGAAATTTGACAAATTTCAAACAGATTTATGGTAAGTTTTGTAATCTAATGGATACACTTCTTCCATAAGTTCCATGGGAAAGTTTGCCTCTTTGATTAATACAGTGTGAGAAGGGGAGAATGTGAGCTAAATCCTTATTAGAGAGCACTAATTCACATGGCTTTCGTTGTGAGGGTACGCCTTCAGAGGAGAATCAAGCTTCACCGATTCTACACTCTGAGATATTACTGCGGGGGCAGGTTGTTTCTGTGCTTTGTTTTGTTTTTTAAATTTCAGAATGGTGGTTTGACCCCAGTTCTAAATGTGTGCATTTTAAATTTTGGGTATCTTGTTGCTATATTGTTAAGCTTGATTGTTTTAAGAATACTGTAAATTATTCTACTGTATTTTCAGCCATAAATCCAAATACAGTTTTAATACAATAATGCAAGTGAATATTTTTTTAAATAAACTGGTTTATTCCAAATAAACCACATTATTAGGAAATACAAAAGGAATGTTACCTGCTTATAGTTTAATTTTTATGCCTACCGTATCGCAATCACTTTTGTTATACAAGTAAATAAAATGTTGCTATGCTTGCAACTCCTTAATGAAGCATTAGATTGGAAAGTAACTGATTGTATTGTGAGACAAAGATATTGCTGTTATTTTAATGAAAAGGGAGGACTGAATAATTTAGAAGACATTAATATCACAAGTACTGTATTACTAAATTCACAGCAGGATGTAATGAAATTTTTGTCAAATGCAACTGCAGAAATAATGCCTTTTAATTCCTGTTGACATTATGATGTCTTCTTTTAGTATTAATCTTTATAATATCAGGCCAGTCCTGTTCACTTCTTCATTAGATCACACTTCTGATTGAGAATTTTTATGTATCTTAAACGTGAGAAAGGTTGTATGCCAGAAGTAGTTTATTTCTAGGCTGTTGTTGCTGTATCACAGAAATAAGTATGCCACATTATTCAAAAATGATTTGACACCTCAAAACAGGTAGTGGAAGAAGACTTTAACTGATAGAAGAATTTGTTTTCTAAATAGCTGTTGATGCTGTAAGTTAGAAGATTAGGTTGAACAGGATTTTTAATTGATCTGAACTGATTATCTGCTTTGCTGTGCTGGATGTAGCTTAGCTAGTACTTAATAATTTCATGCTTTCCTTTTCCTGCCCTCCCTTTTTAAGGAAAGTTTTTTTTCTTTTTGGAAATACTTGACAGACTGTAGTTGTAGTTTCATGTACTACCAAAGAGTTTTCCAACTTCAGTAGATATGTGCTTTTTCTGTTTCCTCCATTCCAAGTAGTGGTTACTTTCCCACTTTTTGTGGGTATCTAGTATTAGCTTTACCTTGTTGTCCCTTATCTACCTGTTCTAGGCTTTGTGGAATAAATGATACAAGTCTTGTGTTTATAACTTGGTCACATATTACACCACCTGCTGCAATAATGTACAGTTAATTGGTTTTATTCTTCATTGTTAGATCTTGCTTCTGAATATTAGTGAATATGTGTTATTTGTGCTCTTTAAATATAGGACTGGACATGGTATGACCAATGTACTGTGTAGGCAGTTGGTGATAGATAGTATTTGTTATTTTACTCTCTGAATATTACAGGCTTCAGGAAAGGAGCTGTGAGGCAGTTTTCTGATAATGCATCCTCCTTGGTGTGGGAGGAATATGCATGAATCTTGGTAGTCAGTTTATCCATGAACATGTTTTCAGGATATGCTTTGTCAGGTAGCTTTGACTGAAATGTGTTGGTTCTCCATATAATAAGCTAAAAAATAATTAGTTGCTAATTACCTACTAATTCAGACTTGAATGAAATTTTGGGAAAAAAAAATATTTTAGTTGTGCCATATAACTTATTTAAATATTGCTATGTTGATATTTGCTCGAGAATCTGAAAATGAAACTGCTTAGATCATTTAAATTTAATAAACCAGAAAATGCATGTGTGAAAAGATAATTGGATGAAATAACTTGTTCATTTTAACATGATTTATTTTACCTGTCTGTATATTTTTAAATGCTCCAGCTGGTGAGAATACATTATTACATGTTGTTCTCATTTTCAATCTTGAATTATAAACACTATTTCTGAAGAGCAAATCAAAACAAATATGATGGTACTTGTGCTTTGTATTGACTACACTTTTGTGCTTCATTTGAAGGTCATTCTGTGAGACTGTTGGGTCAGAAAAAAGATAATGGAAAACGTTTGGGGGGAGCACGACTGGATTTGCCAAAGATTAGGAAGAATCCACTGATAGAAATAATTTCCATCAATACAGGGTAAGAATCTTCCAAACTTACAAGACATTCAGTACTTCCAAGGAATTCAATTTATCTATTTCTGCAGGTATTCATATACCTTCTGGGGTATTACTCCTAAGTTATACAGAAGGAGGCAGGATGACCACTTTTAAATAGTAAAAGATTTTAAATGGCATTCTTTCTGGAAAATAAATCCCTGCTTATTTGGATACAAGACTACTTCTGCTCCAGGGCTGCATACAATCATGCAGTCCTCTTTGTAAGTGTATCTAACTCTTTCTCAAAAGAAAAAGCTCTAAGAAAATTGGAGAAGAAAAAAGTAGTTAGAGGGTTTTTTTCCTGTGTTCTTTTGATTTCTAAGGCGGCAGTCCTGGAATCTTACTAAGTTACAATGCCATTAATATCTGTAAACACCTGATTGTCTTCCCAGACATCAATGGATAAATATAATTTTTTGCTTCTTGCCCCTCTTATATGTTTGTATATAGTTATGATGCTTATATTTCAGCCTTTTCTTTGAATAAGCTACCATCTGCTTATCAAGCAACTCTGGATGCCCATTTCTCCATAAGACTACAAACATTTTTCTGTTCTGTATTTCTGCTTTGAGGAATTCTATTTTAATCTTCTTTCACTTGATGCTTTCCTTTTCTTAGCTTCACTTGGTTATCTCCCATTTGGTCAGTTTCCTAAATAAGACCAAAACAAAACAAAACAAACTCCACACAAGTCTTCTGCTTTTCCCATCTTCTCCAGCTTATGTAGTAATTTCCCAGGTGGTAAAATACAAAATGCATTGCCCTAGGCATCCCAGGTAGGTGTGAACTTAATGTCTAGAGAAAAAATGTGGTAGATCTTAGCTCTATTTGTTTTGAGTTTAGTCTAGCATTTTCATAAACGTTTCATGAAAGAGTTTTTCTACTATCCTCCTTCTTACTTCCTTGTCTTTAAGTAATCTTGCCTTCATAATTCGCTGTAAAACCTGGTGTGCTTATTTAGGTCAGAATACCAGCTCAAGGCTTAGTGTGGTTACTTTTTCTTCCTCTGACTTTAGGTAAACATAGGGGTGATATTTTATCATATTACTGAATTATAATACCTTGTTAAACTGAAGTTTAACGCACTTACTGTTTTTGAAGTCTGGATATGAGCTCTTTTTGTGCAGTTGCTTTTAACTGATATAAATTTTTTTCCCTTACTGTCTTTCCTGTTGAAGTCTTGTTTGTGCCCATGTGATCAAAATCTTTTTCATGATTAAAAATAAGCAAAGCATTCTTTTGTTTGTTGTGTCTAAGTTTCAGATGGTATGACTTTTTCCCTTCTATTAATCACAATCTAATGTTATAATATCTTTCTAGTTGTAAATATTGTCGGGGATGTAAACTAACTGAGGCATGGTCTTGTTTACGTGTCTTGATTTGTAGTAGTGCATTTAAGATGGTCAATGTATTACTATTTCTAATACCAGGTTATTGCTAGCCTAATTCTAGAGGCTAATAGAAGAAGGGTACTGTACAGTATATACACTTGGCATTAGGTGGCTGATAAGAGTAACAACCCTTAGAACAATTTTTTTAATGTATTTTGAACATATGTATAGTCATATTAGGTTTTTAAAAAATTATTTCCTAAGTCGATCAAACTGAAGACAGTTAACATATCCGTAAGATGTTACCTTTGGAAAACCTTTTATTTAGAACCTGAGAGTTTGCAAACAGAAATTACTTTACTTTAGTAGTTCTTGCTGTTCTCAGGTCACTAGAATATGTATTTTTTATCAGGATAATCTAAAAAATAATAGAAACCAGAAAAATAAATTTATGTAATGGAGAATAAGGTCAAATGTGACTTGGTAAGACCAGAGCATTCCGAAAACCTCAAACAAACAAGCCGGTTGCAAAAGACATCTAAATTAATTTATGTCCCAGTCTGTTATATCGAGTGTTGAAGGAATCCTGTCTGTCTTATTTCATACAAGTTTTCTTATCCTTTTCTTCCCCTTCCCCAACCTTTCCACTTGTGTTTTGCAGCTGTCTTTTTTGAAGTATAGCTTTAGAAAGGCAGCAGTACTCAGTGGTTTCTGACAGTATAAAAATATAATCAGTGAAGAACAGGAGACAGTACATGTTACTCGCTGTGAATTGACTGTGTTCATTTTATCATCTTTGCCTTTGTTGTCTGGCTATGGCAGTTTTTAGTACCAACACCACATTTGATCTGAGCTGTCTTTCTCTGTGTGAAGATGGGAGAAAACTTTGAAGATTAGTTTTTGATACAGTGCTCTTTACGGAGAGATGAATTTGGATCAGACTAGAAGCTCTTAAAATAGTAAGAAATATTTCGTTAAAAATAGTGATTTCCTTTTTGAAAACACATTTGTCTGATGCTGTTGAGCGATAGTGTCTGGGAGCAGCATGAGCAGGGCTGCTCTGTGAGGGAGGATGAGAAGGGACCCAAGGCTGCCACCAGCACAGGCAGTGCCCACACCAATGTGACACCCTGTGCTATGGTGCCTGAGCACTGTGGGCAAAGCTGAGGACTGGTAGTAGGATCCATCAACTGTTCCAGACATGGCAAATCATCAACCAGGGCCTGAGTCTATCCAGGGGTTCCTGTCAGGATCAAAACGAAATGAGCTGGAGATACGATGAAGGTCTGAGGTCCATCCTTGTGATAAGCATGGGGCTGGAGGCAGGCATGGTATTTAAGCTTAAGCCAGGATTGGGGACACAGGCTTGAGCTTAACTGGGGCTCTTGGCCCAGAGTGGGCTGGTGGAGACAACAGCTGAGGCTAGTCAGGTCAATTAGTGCCTGATGGTGCCCACAGGGCTGTGACTGGTGGTGGTATATTACATTTACATGTGGAGTCTTAATGAACTCTTGGCCTCTTCTTTAATTCTGTGGGTAAAGGCTTGTTGAAGCATGTGTATCCTTCAGCCCCAAAGCGCTGGTGTTTTTGACAGCTCACACTAACCTCTTTCCCTCTTCAGCAGTGTGAATACCTTTATGTACATGGACACCTGCCAGCTGGAACTATTCTTCTGAGCATTCAGTAGGACCACTTTATTTTCAGGAGTCTTCAAACGTGCTGATTGCTAAGATATCTGTCATTCTCATGCAGCTGTGTCTGAGAATGTGGGTGCCATTGGAACGCAACACTGCAGAATAAGATTTGTTTCTTAAGACTGAGTCAAATACTCTTCAGTAATTTTGACTTGAGGCTTCTTGTTATTGATTCCTTATCTCAAACATGGAGGAAGAAAAAATTCCTATCCTGAAGGTTTCTGTCGTTGTATAACTGAACTTATTCCTCGCTTGCCCATGCACAAATGCATGCTTACATGTGCACATGTATCTCTGTGTTTGGTTTCCTCAGACTGCTGCTGTACATGAGCCTCCTCAGCTGTTCCTTTGAAGGAATCAAGTCTCTCCTCTCAAGGGACAAACATACTCTATTTCCATTACAGTGTGTATTCTTTAATAATAATAATAATAATAATAATAATAATAATAATAATAGTTTAAACCAAACCAAACCCCATTAGATATGGAATATCTGTGAAGATAAGTGCTGCTTCTGTCCGTTGTTGAGCCAGTTTAGAGTTTTCAGCTAGTGGCACATTTGTCCCTAAAATGGTGTGGCTGGCTAGAGAAGAATAAACACACTTTATACAGGGGACTGAAAACCAAAAGGAACAAAGCAGTGTGGATGCATGCATTAGACCATCTTGAGAGCTAAGGTCTGGTGAACTCATGTTAAATTTGCAGTATGAACATACCCAAAGGGCCAAGTCTCTGTCCAAGTTTTCCTGTTCTCTCTCATCTGAAGAGCACTACATGAATCCCATATTGTCTCATTCTCTTGTTACTTTTATAGATTCCCCTACTAAGCTACTAAGAAGACAGGGACATGTTGAAGATTTAGCCTACAAACTGAGCATCTGGGTTTGAGTGTAGTTCTGAGGGAGTATAGAACCACGGTTGTACCAAGAGGATAGTGTAATTCAGTGGAAGCACCAGCAGCTTCTCAATTTGCACATCTGTGTGTGTTTCCTTCTGGGAGAAGGGCTTTTAAAAGCATTATTAAAATGAAAAGTAAATTAAAATCACCCATCCAACCAAGCCCAATAGATTATTCCTGTAGTGCTAGAGCATTTTACAGCAGATCCTCATGTTACTTCATCTCAGAAAGAGATATAATCATAACTACTTTTGAGTCTCTAAATGCTAATTAAGGCATAACACTTCAAACTTAGTACTCTCAAAGTTGCAGAAATGCAGGTGGTCTTCTCACGGGAGTCCTTGCTAGCAAACTCTTTGTTGAGAGTGAACATACACAGTAATGCTTAGGACTTTTAGAAGTCCTTGATGCTTCTTGGTAATTTTGTAGAGGTTTTTTAAGCCATGCTTTGAAATTCTGTAGTGGTGGTCGTTCAGAATGTTTCTAAGCTGCTGAGGGATCTGAATCTACCAGAAGAGTTGTTTAAAAAAAAAAAAAAAAGTAGTTCTATGTACAGTACTTTGTTTTGTGAATCAAGTAACTGTTTTTTTGCATCATGGGGGGAAAAAAAAAAAAGTTACTATTGTCAATCCTGATGTTCCTAGGCAGAAATATTTCCCTGGTTATGAATTGTGAAAGGTTAAAATTCTATTCTTTCACCATTTCCTGTCTAAACAGCTTTTTCAGTTTTATGATGAATTAGGGAGTATGAGGATTTAATTTTCTTGTAGTTGCATTTTAATTTTATACGAGACCACTTAATAGTCTTTCTATATATTACATTCCAGCAGTTGTTTAGGATCATGTGTATAAATACCCTGGAGTTGTATGTCCATGAAAGTGTAGGTAATTCTGTTTGATTTGTGGTTTGTTGTTTGTTTGGGTTTTTCCCAAAAAAAAAGGGACATAAACTTAAATGCTTTCAACTCTTTTTTTTTTTTTTTTTTTTTTATATCTAAAATATTTGACTTAGTTAACTTCTGTCACATTCTAAAACTTCACAGCAGTGGATAGTTTT